CATCACCATCACCATCACCATCACCATCACCATCACCATCACCATCACCATCATCATCATCATCATCATCATCATCATCATCATCATCATCCTCATCACCATCATCTTCATCATCATCCTCATCCTCATCCTCATCCTCATCCTCATCCTCACCCTTATCATCATCATCACCATCACCATCACCATCACCATCACCATCACCATCATCATCATCATCACCATCACCATCACCATCACCATCACCATCATCATCATCACCATCATAATCATCATCATCATCATCCTCATCACCATCATCTTCATCATCATCATCATCCTCGTCCTCATCCTCATCCTCATCCTCATCCTCATCGTCATCATCACCATCACCATCACCATCACCATCACCATCACCATCATCACCATCAACATCACCATCACCATCACCATCATCATCATCACCACCATCATCATCATCATCATCCTCATCACCATCACCTTCATCATCATCCCCATCCTCGTCCTCATCCTCATCCTCATCCTCATCCTCATCGTCATCATCATCATCTCCATCACCATCACCATCACCATCATCATCACCATCACCATCACCATCACCATCACCATCACCATCACCATCACCATCACCATCACCATCACCATCACCATCACTCACCCATCATCCGTCCGCCATCATCATCATCATCAGCGCAACGCCCGAAAACGCCTGAGCTCCGGGCCGCCGGATGCGCCGCGCCCGCCGCTGGCCGCGGGCTCACGGAACCCGTGGCCACGGCCTCGGGGCCGTGCGTGGGGGGGCGGCGTCCGGCCCGCCGAGCGGTCCCTCCCTCCTCCTGAGGACCTCCTCCTCCTCCTCCTCCTCCTCCTCCTCCTCCTCCTCCTCCTCATCCTCCCTCTTCCTCCTCCTCCTCCTCCTCCTCCCTCCCTCCCCCCTCCCTCCCTCCCTCACCCTCCCTCACTCCCTGGGGGGAACCAAAAACCCTCCCTTCGTCCCTCCCTCCTTCTTTAAGAATCCCTCTCGTACCCCCTAATCGAGCACCCTCGTGTCATTTTCGCACCTATCCACGCGAGTACGTCTGCTGGGAATTATCACCCGAACCAAGCGGGAGAGAGGCGGGCCACTCGACGGCAGTGTCGGTTGATCCTTCGAGGCCCCCCCTCCTCCCGCCCTCGTCAGTCTGATGGGGAGATTGCTATCGAGAGCAGCTCCCCCCTTCCCGGGGGGGGTCATTGTCCAGCTGCGGCGTCGCGGCTGATTGGCACACTGATGTGCTTCCCCGTTTTGATCCCCGTTCGTTCTCGCCGCCCTTCTCCCTCGCCCCAGCAGCGGGCCGACCAACTTATCCTCTCCCCCCTTCCACCTCTACCTATCCCTCCCCGCACCTCCCCCCCCTTGTGACGCCGCCGCGAGCCCTCATCTTCCGTGCTCGTTCGGCGTCGACACTGGCTGTAAGCCCTCAGGCGTCGAGTACGGCAGTGGGCTGGGGAGAGAGCGTTGCATCAACCAACGGGAAAAAAACCTTTCCTTCTCTCTTTCGTACCCCCTTACTTTCCCGCACCCCCCTTAAATTCCCGCACTTCACATACTTCACATCATCCTTCCGGCGTATGGCTTGATTGACTGACCCCCCCTCCTTCTCTTTCCCGAGTGCGCAAGGCATACTATGTTTCGGAGTCGAAGCTATGTATGCAGTTTGGGGTTCCTTTTTCAAGAATCCCGCCTCAGGACCATCAGCAGGAACCACCTCGCCGAGAAACGCGCGCCCCCTCCCTCTCGCCCCCCCCCGGGTGAAGACCGTCTTTAGGCCTCTCCCGTGAGAACCGTCAGTGGGCCTCACACCCCGCGCAGCTTCCATCATGGGGGCTGCGTGGGTCCCCCCCCACACCTTTACATCAAGCCTCGCCTCGGTCCAAGGCCAGCCCGAGAACCGACCGGCCCGGGGCCCGAGACTGGACCGACCGGTCTCGCGCCACCGGAGACCGACCGGCCTGGCCCGACAGGCCCGGCCTGGACGAAAACGCCCCCTTGGAGGACTGGGCGAAAACGACCCCGCGAAAGCCTCGACGAACCAACATAGGGATCGAAAACAAAACCCCTGGGGATCGGAGGAAAAACCCAGGGGGTCGAAAACCAGACCTTACGGGGGGGGGTCGAAAACGGAACCCCTGCGGATCGAAAACGACTCGGCGGACGAAAACGGCTTGAGGGATGAAAACGAGTCGGCTGACGAAAACGACACGGCGGACGATAACGATTCCGCTGATGTAATACATAAAGGCGTCAATAGCCACCGGAGGGGTCCGAGGACTCCTCTAGGGACCCTCGGCCAACGAAGACGTCCCTAGAGGAGGGTCCAACGTACCTCCACACCTTTACAACTTCCCATGATGGCGTCAACTGCCACCCCTGCGGTTTTCCTCCCTCCTCCCTCCCTCCGTTCTTCCTCTGTCCCTCCCTCCTCCTCACTCCCTCCTCTCGCCCTCCCTCCCTCCCTCCCTCCCTTCGTTCCTCCCTCCTTCTCTCTAGCTCCTCCCTCCCTCTCTCCCTGCCTCCCTCCCTCCTCATCCGCCCTCCTCCTCCTCCTCCTCCTCCTCCTTCTCCTCCTCCTCCTCCTCCTCCTCCTCCTCCTCCTCTCCTTCTCCTCCTCCTCCCTCCCCCCCTCCTCCTCCCCCCCTCCCTTCTTCTTCTCCTCCTCCTCCTCCTCCTCTTCTTCTTCCTTTTCCTCTTCCTCTTCCTCCTTCTCCTCCTCTTCCTCCTCTTCGTCCTCCTCCGCGAACTTGCGCTCGAACATTGTCTGCAATTCTCGATTTCCACGTGTCATCCATGCGGAAGGGCCATTCTCATCTTCTTTGCAAGACCGGGTGGCGCGGCCGATCGCGGAGAACAATCACTGAAGAACACACAAGCTTCCGGCGGCCCGCGCGGATGTCTTGGGTCGGCGCCAGACCCGCCCGCCCGCAATCGGTAGCGCGGGGAAAGCGGGTCCTGAGGGCGACGGGTCCCGAACCCTGGGGGCCTTCACCCACGACCAACCCCTCGTCCCCCCTCTTTCTCTGCCAGCCCCGGGGTCCGCGGGGGGCCCCGAGAGCTCGAGAACGGTGAGGAAAGCCTCGGGACCCAATCCCCGCAGGACAGCCCTGGGCCCAGGGAGGGCCCCGAGCGCCCGAGAAGCGGCGACAGACACCTCGGGACCCCGTTGCCCCCCAGGACGCCCGACAGTCCTGGGGCCTGGGGGGAGGAGGAGCCCCCGCAGGAGCCGCTGCTCTCAGGACCCCGACGCTCTCGGAGCCCTGGCAGAGCCCCGAGAGCCCGAACACGGTGAGAAACCTCGGGGCCCGTTCCCCTCGGGACTCTGACGGTCCAGGGCCCAGGGGGAGGGCCCCGAGAGCCCGCAAACGGCGAGAAGCCTCAGGACCCGCTTCCCTCGAAGAAGAAACAACGGCATAAACATACACTTCTGGCGTCTTTTCTTCTTCGGACCCATACCCCTGACGTCATGACTTTCTCACGACGCGACCCCCAAAGGTCCGGACCCCTTCCCCAGGACCCGCTTTTCATCCCGCGTCGTTCTTCGACGGCCAAGAGGGCCGGCGAGGGCCCCCAAGGGCCGAACACTGCAACACACCTCCCGCCCTATATATATACACACATATACACACAAACAAGACTGCAGTGGCGCTTCGCGCCATGCACCTTGGTCCTTGAAGTTTGGTGTGCAGGCGGAATAGCAAGGAGGTCAAGCCGACAATTTAGCGATAACTCCTTGTTGCCTTTTCCGGCATCGCCGCTATGATAATGATATTCGTTATCCTTCCTCCATGCTTCTTTTTCCTCATGTTGCCCATACCCTGCGCATTCTCCCTTTCCTCCTCAGCTTTTTTTGCGGAGGCTCCTCCTGGGAGAGCCTCTGGGGGCAACAACAAAAATTGTCTCAGGCTTTCTTACGGCCTTCTGGAGGCCTCCTGGGCGTATTCTGGGGGCCTCTGGGGGCTTCCTCAGGCCACCCTGCCTCCAACCACGGTCTCCCTGAACGACCGGGTCACGGTTTGGAATGCTTCGGAGGGTGCCTCGGGGCCATCTTGGGCCGCCATGGGGCTCTCTGAGGGCCATCTTGGACCCGTGTTGTGCCGTTTTGGGGCTCTCTTGGACTGCCTGGAAGCCCTTTCGGATGGTTGTGGGGCGATTTTGGGGCCTCCCAGGTGGCTTCGGACGCCCAGAAGACCGCCGTCTTGGAGCGTCGGGAAGCCGAAAAGAGGAGAACCCCAACATTCACCAAAAACTACCAGAAAATCAATGATTTGTGCCTCTTGGGAGTGCTCTTGGAGGCCTCTTTGGGGCCGTCCTGGAGGCCTCTTGGGCCATCTTGAGGTCACGTCGGTCACTCTTGGAGCGCTCTTGGGCTGTCATGGGGGTCTCTGAGACGTCTCCGATGACCCCCCTGATCGCCCTAGGTGTGCTGGGAAGGCTTGGAAAAACGCCCTGCGAGGCCAGGGGGGCCGCTTCGAGGCCCGTCTGGAGGGTCCCAAAGCCCCAGATCCCGGGAGTCATTTTTATTGGGGGGGGGATGGGTTTTCCCCCCGCCTGAGCTTATACAAATAGAGGAAGAGGAATATATATAATAATAATAATAACAATAATAGTACTACTGATAATAATAACAATACTATTAATACTAACAATAATAATACAAACAAATAATATTATTAATAATAATATTAATGATAATGATAATAATAATACTAATAATAATACTAATAATACTAATAATACTAATACTAATACTAATAATAATACTAATAATATTAATAATAATAAATATATTACATGTATAAACATGTTTTTGGGTATTTACAAGTACATACAAGACTGCATTGGCGCTTCGCGCCATGCACCTTGGTCCTTGAAGTTTGGTGTGCAGGCGGAATAGCAAGAAGGTCAAACCGACAATTTAGCGATAACTCCTTGTTGCCTTTTCCGGCATCGCCGCTATGATAATGATATTCGTTATCCTTCCTCCATGCTTCTTTTTCTTCACTTTCGCCATACCCTGCGCATTCTCCCCATCCTCCGCAGCTCTTTTTGCGGAGGCTCCTCCTTGGAGAGCCTCTGGGGGTCTCACAAAAGTTGTTTCAGGCTTTCTTACGGCCTTCTGGAGGCCTCCTGGGCGTATTCTGGGGGCCTCTGGGGGCTTCCTCAGGCCACCCTGCCTTCAACCGCGGTCTCCCTGAACGACCGGGTAACGATTTGGAATGCTTCGGAGGGTGCCTCGGGGCCATCTTGGGCCGCCATGGGGCTCTTTGAGGCCATCTTGGACCCGTGTTGTGCCGTTTTGGGGCTCTCTTGGACTGCCCGGAAGCCCTTCCGGATGGTTGTGGGGCGATTTTGGGGCCTCCCAGGCGGCTTCGGACGCCCAGAAGACCGCCGTCTTGGAGCGTCGGGAAGCCGACAAGAGGAGAACCCCCAAATTCACCAAAAACCAAAAGAAGATCAATGACATTTGCCTCTTGGGGCCTTCTTGGGGGTGCTCTTGGAGGCCTCTCCTCTTGGGGCCTTCTTGGGGGTGCTCTTGGAGGCCTCTTTGGGGCCGTCCTGGAGGCCTCTTGGGCCATCTGGAGGTCACGTCGGTCACTCTTGGAGCGCTCTTGTGCTGTCTTGGGGGTCTCTGGGACGTCTCCGATGACCCCCCTGATCGCCTTAGGCGTGCTGGGAAAGCTCGGCCAAACGCCCTGCGAGGCCCGCGGGGCCGCTTCGAGGCCCGTCTGGAGGGTCCCAAAG